TTATTTAAGACTAGCGATCCGCGCCGGCTTCGCACGGCTGTTTTCTGATATCTCGCTAACAGCGCCACTTACTGGATCCAAATGTGAATCGAATACCATCTAGGGACCCACTTTAACACACACAAAAATGTAGTGTTCGAGTCGTATTTGAGTTTTAGCGAAACTAATGGACAATATAAAAATTAATTGCTGCATATAGTGAATACAGGATAAATACATAATAGTGAGTATAGAGATTTTCCGGTACTCACTACGATGGGTCGATGAGTGCAGCAATACAGTACTGATATCCTCTCACTGGTGATAACGTGTGAGAATATCCGGTGTGATGAAGGGATAAATGAATATGCATATTATGCACTATGTTTTCCTTGAGTAAACAAAATTGTATTTATAATAGACCTCCACAGATTCTATCTTTTTTATCTGCTTTCACATTAACATTGCTATCGAAGTCACAATGATCTACTGTTAGTCCCAAATTTTTTCGTACCCGCCACTACACGACACATAGTTATTAAATACTTGTTTATACTAACACCTATGGTATTTTATGTTGTCTGAACCAATGAGGAAGAATAAATAAATTTATGTTTCTGTTAGAAAATATTTAAAATAAGTGTGTTAGTTACGCAATCATTTTACAATAGTGTGAATAATCTAGATTGATGATCTTAGCAAGCTGTGAAGGTGAAATGTGTTTAATAATGCTATTACGGCTAGTGACCAAAAGAAGAAAAACTTGTGATTAAAAGTTAAAACTCGAGTCAAACAACTAATTTCACGTTCTAAAGAATGTGAAATTATTTGTAAAATTATGTAATAAAAATTTAATGTAAAATATTATAAATTTTTATTTAAAATTTAGTTTATTATAATATTTTAATTATAAAATTTATAAAAAATAAATATTATAAAAATATTATTAAAATAATAATTATTATTATAATAATATTAATGTAAAATTATTTGACATATCGAACTGTTACCCATGGTTAAAAATGCGTAGGTAGCAATAATTGATTTTTCTTTGTGTATATTTTACTTACGACTTTATTTTACCACTACAACTCAGATTTTCTTCCCCATCGGTTATCGGTTCTTCAAGCTATATGGCCAGCCTATTGCCACTTCAGCTTACTAATCCGTTGGGCTATGTCGGTCACTCTGGTTTTACTGCGGATATCCTCTTTTTTGAGTCTATCACGCAGAGAAACTCCGAGCATAGCCCTCTCCATAGCTCGCTGAGCGACCTTGAGCGTCCTCATACGGCCAGCATTGAAGGACCACGTCTCAGATCCGTAAGTCATCACTGGCAACACGCACTGGTTACACACTTTAGTTTTCAGATATTGAGGTATACCTGACGAGAAGATGTGTCTTAATTTCCTGAACGCTGCCCAGCCGAGTTGAATCCGTCGATTGACCTCTCGGTCGAAGTTGGACTTACCTAGTCGGACTATTTGTCCCAGGTAAACGTACTCGTCAACAACTTCGAGCATAGTGCTCCCAACAACTACCGGCATAGGTGTGACATGGACATTAAACATGATCTTTGTTTTGTCCATGTTCATCTTAAGACCTATCCGTTGGGAGACACCATTGAGGTCATTGAGCATAGTGCTAAGGTTCTCCAGCGATTCTGCCATAAGGACTATATCGTCGGCAAATCGAAGGTGAGTGATGTACTCGCCATTGATGTTAATACCGTATCCTTTCCAGTCCAGTAGCTTGAAAACGTCTTCCGACGCAGCGGTGAAGAGTTTCGGGGATATAACATCACCCTGTCTTACACCTCTCTGTAGTTGGATAGATTTCGAACTCTGGTTCTGTACTCGGATAGCCATCGTAGCCCTACTGTACAAACACTTCAGCACTTCGATATACCGACAGTCAACTTGGCACCGCTGAAGGGACTGCAGCACCGCCCAAATTTCGATGGAATCAAAGGCTTTTTCATAGTCCACATTTGCCAGGGAAAGTGGCAGATTGTACTCTTCGGTCTTCTGTACAATCTGCCGCAGGGTATGTATGTGCTCTATGGTACTGAAGCCTTTTCGGCTTGTTCGGGAGGCTGGAAGTCGTCGAGTCTACGTGCGAGACGATTCGTAATGACTCTCGAAAACAACACGTAGACGCGGCTCAGAAGGGAAATCGGTCTGTAGTTCTTCAAGAGAGCGTTGTCGCCTTTCTTAAAGAACAAGACCACCGCGCTTCTGCTCCACGCCTCCGGAGTAGTGCCACCATGGAGGACGGAATTGAAGAGCTTCTGAAGGACTTCAAGTACCGGTGTTCCACCCGCTTTCAGAAGCTCCGCTGTAATTCCATCCTCGCCCGGGGCCTTGCCGTTTTTAAGGTGGTGGAGAGCCATTCTAATCTCGCTCAGACTGACGTCCGTGATATCATCGGAATAGTGTCGGATAAGACTTGCTCTTGGATCGTTACTCACACTTGCGTGTGGCTCCAACGATGATGTGTACAGCTGCCCATAGAACCTCTCAATCTCACTCAGAATCTCAGGTGTCCCGGAAACGATGTTGCCACACTCAGTCTTCAGCTTTGACAGTTGGCTCTTTCTGGCAGACAGATCTCTGGCAAAGACTTTGGAGCCATGGTTCCGCTCGATCGCTTCTTTAATACGAGCAGTATTAAAGTTGCGTAAGTCTCACCGCATGCATTTTGGCCCCTTCGGTTCCGTTGCCCTACTCCAAATTTCCCTACCTTCAGCTTACCGCCTTCTCTTGTGCCTAGTTTTGCGTTGAAGTCTCCCATCAACATCGTGTAGTGGCTTTTGGAGGAATGCATGGCCCTGGAAATATCTTCATACATTTCCTCCACCTCCTCATTGGGATGTGCCGAGGTTGGTGCGTAAACCTGTACGACCTTCAGCGAATACCGTTTGGTGATTCTGAGTATCAGGTACGCGACCCTCGTCGACACACTCCCAATCTTTACAACGTTGTTGACGAGAGACTTGTGGACCATAAATCCGACACCTCCTTCGGACAGATGGTCGCCCTCCTGGTGATAGAACAAGTTGCCGTACTCGAGGATTGCCGTGTCCTCCCCCTCTCTTCGGACCTCGGATAATCCAATAATATGCCAGCGCAACTTGTCTACCTCTTCTTCCAGCTCCAGTATCTTCTCGTCAGTCCTCAGGGTGCGTGCGTTATATGTTGCCAGGTCCACGTCGTAGGTGGCAACCGAACCTCCACCGGAGATTCTTAGCACCCCCTGCCCCGCCGTTACCATGTCGCCACCGTAGCCGGGAATAGCGGGGCCGCTGGGGACTGGGGGCCGTTTGTTTGCGTCGTTATTCATGGGGGGATATAATATATTATGCCATATGCAAAATACCCGTCGGCCGGAGCCTGGTGCTGAGATAATTCAGTGACGGAATGCTAGAACAAAGTTTACGTTCTGGTAGACTTCCAACCAAAAATTGTAACAATTTTTGGCGATCTTTTCATCTTCAGTGGATATTTTTAATATTCATTTGACAATTATACATTTATAGCACAGGGGAAAGTGCTCATCATAACAACCCCTATGCAATTTTGGCTGAGAGACAGTGTCAGAGCTAAAACCCATTTAGCAGGAGGATACAAAGATTAACCACTGAACTAATTACAATTAATTTTTAAACAGATTATGAGTTCTGAGCTTATACTTAGATACTCAGATAATGACAGTATTATATTCACACGCAATTGCAAATTAAATGAGTTACTTTCATTAAAGCACCGCAAACTCTCAAAACTGTTGCATATTTGCCAATAATATCATCTCTATATATATTGCAGCTGAAGTTTCCCGTCTCGGCTCCCTGGTATCAGAATTAGAATGTCGTTTAGCAGAATGTGACAATAACGTGAAGTCTAAGATGAAATCTTCAACCGATGGTGTTCTTGATACTTTAACCGAAATCCGCGCCGTTTTGGAAGCTGAAATGGCAGGTGCAGCGAAGATAGAGCAGGCTCTCGCCGCTGCTTTGGCCGATAACGCCACTCTTGCAGCTCAAATTCACAAGAGAGACAACCCAGGCTCACGCCAACCATCGCCATTGAAAGAAAATACTACTACCACTATTACGAGTATATGCCCGATTGACTCTTTTTTGTCAGAATAATAAAAGTTTATGTAGTTAACTTAGATACTATAGTTATAATTTATTGTAGCTGCTGACCGGTATAGGTCATATTATTAAAACATTAAAAATTCATTGCATTTTATTATTAATTATATGTGTGATTAATTAATTATATGAGGCATTCCATCTTAGATCTCACGGGTGACAACGCATCTGCATTTTGATTCGTAGTCGAGGATAGATGTAGATGTCTATGGGTCACAGCACATGTGTGCTCGTTTGTGAAAAAAATGTAAAGCTATGAAATAGGACGAAACTTATAAACCGATTTAACAAATATATGAATTTGTAAAATCTTAAGGTATCGAGAAATAACAGCAGACCCATATCGTATCTCGGTTTCAAAACAGTCAGAAGCTTCAATAGATACTGGATGACCTTTTTTACTGGAAAAAAATTGAGTGTAACATGTGAACGGAGTAGAAGCCTATGGCACTGCTATTTTACATAAAATAAAAATATAAGTTTTGAATTAAACGTTTGAAAATTTTTTTTGAACAATTACTTTGCTCTTTGCCCTTGACTGAGCCTGTAACCCTGTGAAGTGACAAGGTCAAAGATGCCTACAAAATTTATTGTTTTATTGCCATTCGTAAAAGAGAGTGGATATGATTTGAATTTCGATAGATTTTAATTAATTAATATAATAGATTTTACTGAGTTCACATGTTACACTCTTTTTTTTTCCAGACGGTAAAAACGGTCATCCAGTATATTTATATAATGTGTGGGAGAACTTGACGGTTTTGACGTAAATTTAATATTCCAAACAGGTTTCTCAAATCGCGACCTGTATATCTTCGCAAACCTTTTAGAGGTCGTTCTGACGTTGTTTAATAATAGAATTTTAATGTATGTGAGTGTGTCGAGTTTAATTGAATAACGAAGTAGAATAGGAGAGCGAACATGTTCCATCGCCGTTAGTCGACTGGTACCTCCTATTACCTATGTGAAAACATATTCCTAGTAATGCCTTGCACGCGGAATCATGGGTCAGTAATCAGTAGGCTTAAGATTGTGGTATATCTATTCGCATTAAGTTTACTAATATGGTTTTGAATATTTTAATGTGACGTTGTAATTAAAGTATTTTTAGTCCATTGTTGGACATTTAGGGACCTCTACAAGATTTTATAATTTAAACTTAATATTTATTATAATAATTCACATTTAATGATTTTTATATAATTATAAAAAACATTTTCTACCAATAATACAACAGGCAAATTTTTTATTCTATGGAATTCTGTAAGATCTGAGATGTATGAAATTATGTTCGTATTTTCTAAACTTAATTTTTGAATAGATCCATGACTGATACAAGTTAAAAAAAAGTATGTGAGCCGAATAACAATAACTAAGGGAATTTGTCATAAAGCACATTTCTATACAGATCTTTTAAGGAGTTACGCAAGTCGGACGAGCTTGAATAAAGATGACGTCGTTTAGTGTAGGCAGTATTTCCTGTTATGTGAGGGTCATAGCTGTCTGCTGGAAGTAGTGTGGGTGCAAGGAGGTAATGAGGGTTTTCGCAAGGCTCTACGGCCCCTACCAGCGCGCACGCGGCGCCGCGCCACCAGTTACGCTGCACCTCGCTTCGTCTGCGCGTGTCGCGTCGTCGCGCACCGCACTATTATTGTGCACTCGAAACAAACGATCTGTGATATAGTGTTAAGATTTTACTTAATAAATACAGAACATTTTTGTATATATGCCGGAGCTTTATGAAATTATACTGTGTAAAGTTCTGTGAAAGTGGGGCAACCTGTCAATACAAATAAAAGTTCCCTTAGGGTAACTCATTTCTAGTGAATTGTGAAGATCTTTTCAACCACAGAACACTTAGTCCCAGCGGTATTTCTAAAACAATAATAAGAGTGTGACGTTTGACGGTAAACAGTTAACACATTCTGCGTAAGTGTGACATAAATTAACTTAAATTTTCACATTTCAATTTTTTCTATTTTAATTACAAATTATAGCTTCTTAGTTGTCTTAGATATATAAAAACGTCTTATTAAAAAAAGGTTTTGAGAATACTATACCCTTGTATTTATTGACTGAAAATTTTGAATGATAACAATGTATCTAGTTAACACATATTATGAGACGTGATTAACACACGTTATGAAACTTGAAAATGTCAATGCTAAGTCGAAATTATATTGTAGGAACTATTATAATAAAGGCTGTATCGACGCAAAAATATTGTTAATATAGTGAGTCAGAGAAGCTGAACCTGCGACACAAGGACGGTGAGCTCAACTTGTAAACACGGTAAACATGTGAAATTAATTCATACATTAATTTGATTGCTCACTGATGATATTATATTGTATAACAATCAGATACCTTTGTAATATGTGACACAGATTATGTCTGTATGTGAAGTCAAATGAATTAACCATATAAATGTAAATGCATTATGTAAAGCATCAGTTAAACTGATAGATATTTTATAAGGTCATAGTGTGACAAGTTCAAGACAATATGGGTAGTTTCAACACGGAAGTGTTGCCGAACTCGATTCCACAAACGTTCTACTAGTGTAAATTTGTCTGTTCTTAGTAAAACAGATGAATATTTTAACGTTCTTGTTAACACACACAGTCAACATCAACCTAGACTTTACAGATATGGTACTGAATCATATTATCGTCTACTTCACACTAATTGTTTACAAATAGATACATCACTCTATACCACTCTTTGCATGTTTAGTTTTTGGCTTTAGTGGAAGCGAAAGGCCTGTTTAAAAGCTGTTTTCCGGCTCGATCTGCTATCTTCTTGATCAATGACCTTGAAAACTAAATCTATGTATATGGAGATAGAACGATATATATAAGAGCTGTGGTAGCTCAGATGGTTAACGCTCGAGCGAGTAACCCGGATTCGATCCCCGCCGGCACCAATGAAATTGTTAATTGCAATTTTAAGTGCTGATTTACGACGTGCTCGGCGGTGAAGGAAAACATCGTGAAAAAATCTGCATGCCTGAGGAATAAGAAAAAAAATATTTCTCGCCAACGCGCATTGGGGCAGCGCGGCGGACACTTCCTTGCCCTAAAACCCTCTCAGAAATGAGGGGAGACCTGTGCCCAGCAGAGAGACGTATATACTGCCTGTAACTTTACTTTACACACACACGCACACACACACACTATATATATATGACGTTATATATATACGACGTTATATCCCCGAAACTCTTTACCGCAGCATTGGAAGACGTTTCGAAGCTGCTGTCCTGGAAAGGATATAGTATTAGCTTCAATGCCGAGTACATCACTCACTTTCGATTTGCCTACGATATAGGTAGTCCTTAAGGCAGAATCGCTGGAGGACCTAAGCACTATGCTCAATTACCACAATAGTGTCTCCCAACGGATTGATCTTGAAAATTAATTCATATAAAAATCAATAGTTCTTGGAGTTTCTTTTAGTAGTATTAAAGGAATTGCTTCTAGTGATGATGCTGCAGTATACCATTAAAAATCTAATTTAATAACGGTAAATATGTATTACGATGTAACATACACATATATTAAGTACAATGATATATACATACATCATTCTCTCTAAACAAACATTATTCAAAAAGTTTACCATGATCGGACCGGTTCAATAATAGATATTCTCCAGTGGTAGCACTGAATTTTGTCTAAGACAGTTATGGTCTTAGACAAAATTCATGAGACGAATAATATGTTATTATGATTTTTAACGTACTTTTTTTATAGAAGAGGGGGCAAACGAGCATGCGGCTCACCTGATGTTAAGTGACTACCGCTGCCCATGATCAACCGCAACACCAGGGAAATTGCATGTGCGTTGCCGGCCCTTTAGAAAGGAGTAAGCTCTTTTCTTGAAGTACTGTGAAAATATTTTAATTAAAAGTCGCCTTTACAAAGTACTTTTGAAAGACACAAAACCACGCCATCGCTTCAATAAGTCCCTGCTGCGGGAAACCTTGTGACTCACAACAATAATCCATTAGACCATTACACTATGAAAATAGCTATAATGAAGCAACATTGCTGTATCTATATCAGTTAACAGCATTATTTTTTTAACTGTATACACAGCGAAACTAACTCTCCTTGTCTCCTGGACAAGGCTGCAGTATGAGGTCTGTAGACGAAAGACTATATTAATACCAAGGAAAACTGTGGAATCTGCTCATTAAAGTATTTGATTCAACTTCTACTACATAGGAGTAATAACTTGCCTTACATTTGGTTAAGAAAATTTGAGTCATTTCGATTTGTTTATATAATAGTTGGGATACAGCATAATTTATATCATCAAATGTGTTTTTGCCTTATTGAAATTATATAATAAATATAAACACTCACGCCTGTCACCCAGAGGGGTAAGCAGAGACTACAGACTTCCATTGGCACGACCCTGATATACCTCTCTCGCCTCCTTTACATCCATATATCTACGCATACACGCTCGTCGGTTAAGGATACTCCTAATGTGGCCCATTTTAAAAATATCGCCAATTTGGTCGAGGTACCTTCTTCTAGGGCGCCTTTTCCCGACTCTGCCTTTCACACATGAAATTTGCTTTGTCACTCTTCCCTCGTACATTATTTCTACATGACCAAACCACCGAAGCATTCTTTTCTTAATCCTTGTCACAACACCATCTTGCTCACCACATTTTTCTCTTATCACGCAATTTCTCAGCTTTTCATTCAGATTCAGCTCTAGCATTCCCCTTAAAGACTGCATTTCCACAGTATTTATTCTACTTTCGTGCTTCTTCTGCTATACCCAACTTTCACTACCATACATTAAAGTAGGAATTAACACAGCAATATGAATTACCGTACGTGCCTTTTTTTGTCACATTCTGATTCTTCATAATAGAATGTAGTGCCCCATTCACTCTATTTCCTGCATTCACTCGTCGTTCTATATCTTTACCATATCCACCGTCCCTGCAAAATACATATCCCAAATACACGAACTCATTCACTTGCTCACTCAACTCCCCTTCTATTCTTATTTCACATAATGTTTTACTTTTTTCTCTTTCGAAAACCATCACTTTCGTCTTACTTGCGTTCACTTTCATTCCTTTCTTTTAATGACCAGTTTGTTAATGTAACCATCATTTGCCAACTTGGCCACCCATCGGCGTACAAAAGGCATTTGACGGTTAACTCACCCATTCTTAACCCACATTCATCACCTTTCAAAGTTTGCAAACAACTGTCCATAAATAGGTTGAATAGCCACGATGAAGCTACACAGCCTTGTCTGACACTTTTTTTTATTTGCGAAACCAGTCTGAGTAGACTTTATTGATCCGGACACGAGCACTAGAGTCCCTATAAAGAGACTTTAATGCTTGTATTAAACCGGCGCTCAACCCAAATGATTTCGTCAATGTTCGCCATAACGCAGTCTTGTCCACTCTGTCATAAGCCTTTTCCAAGTCCATGAACGTACAAAAATCTTTCTGGTTTTTGACCAAAAACTTCTCCGCTATCATGCGCATGGAAAAGACTTGATCTGAACACCCCATTCCCTTTCTAAATCCCGCTTGCACATCCCAAATTTTTCAGTTTATTTCATAACTCTTTCAATAAACATCTTAGCATACAGTTTACCTACAATATTAAGTAAGCTGATACATGGTAGTTGTTGACACTCCTGCTGTGACCCTTTTCCTTTATATATTGTGACTATTACTGCTTTACGCCAGTATTCCAGTACCCTCTTCAATTCCCAACACAAATTAAACAAGGTATACAGCAGGCCTGCCAACACTTCCTCCGCAGCCCGTAGCATCTCAAGTGATACTCTATCATATCCTGCTTTCATGCTTTTTATTGCTTTCATTATTTTATCTACACTTAACTCCCATTTCTTTCAGAATTTTTAGTTTATTTAATTCAAACGAATCTTCACTCATAAACAAGCTTTCAAAGTATTCCTTCCATCTCTTTAAACTAGAAACTTCATCATTCAGAATAAATCCGTTCTCGTCTCAAATAGCATTCATTTTAGGCTGTTTTGAATTTCCCCTGACGGTTCTTACGAGTTTCCAGAACATTTTAATATTTGTCTGGGAGTTATCAGACATCCTTCTATCATTCTTATCCGTTCTTTCTTCCTTTTTCCCTTCTACTACTTCTTTTACTCTCTTATTTAGACGTCTAAATTCTGCCTTTTTTCTTTCAATCTCATCATTCATACCGTCAGAACTACCAGCTATGGTTGCTAGTAAATCTAGCCATTCTCTTTTCTTTTCTTCAACTTCCATCCGTACCTCATCATCCCACCACAACCTATTATTTTTCCTTTCATTTGTTTTCTTACTTACAACAAATACTTCGGTGGTGGCATCCACCAAACCTTTCTTAACATTATCCCACACAGTCTTCAAGTCTAAATCACTCATACACAATTCATTCTAACACTTAGTATTTTCCCTTAATGTACATTTATACCTCTCTTTCACATATTTTGTAACTTCTCTATTCTTATACGCTGAAACGCACTGGTAGACACTGATTTCCGATGGCGCAAACGCTTGGATAGACCATAAGAACAAGTAATGATCCGTCCCTACGTTGAACCCTCGGTAAACCCTTGTATCAACGACTGCGCTCCTCATTATTTCATCCACAATTATGAAATCTATCATGATTCTATCATCACCTCTTTCTCATGTACACATGTGAATTTTCTTATAACGAAAGAAATTGTTCGTCACAAAAAGATTCATTTCCACACATACGGTGAGGAGGTCTTCATCATTCTAATTTATACTTTCGACACCAAACGTTCCCAATATCCTTTCATAACCAGACCTCTTAAGCCAATCTTTCCATTAAAATCTCCTAACAGAATAATATTTTTATTTTCCTCACATTTCATCAAAAAAGTAACTTTAGTTGCTCATTTTTAAAGTTATTGACACGATTTTCAGTCCTTGGTCTGCATGTTAAAATCTGACTAGGAGAGACACGATGGTACTTAATTGTTGCCTAATTTATGCAGTTAATTAATGACTTTTTTAAAACATAATAATTACATAAAATAGTATGCAAACAAGTAGTCACTGCATGGGACCATTCTTGTTGGCTCAAAGAACGTATATACTAAATTAAATCAGATGAGATTCATAGTGCATACACAAAGGAGAAACCATGGTTATTACAGTATGTGGAGATTGAACGTAGCCTTAAAATGTAACCGACCTCTCTTTCTCTCTCTCTCTCTCTCTCTCTCTCTCTATCTAGTGGAACTGGTTTTATTTAAATATACTTAAGTGGTTCACTGAAAATGAAAGCGCCGCGTCGTCGGTCCAATGATGGCAACCTTACTTACCCTACCCTAAAGATGTCATAAGATGGTCTGTTTCAATATTAAATAATGCGGAATTACAGTCAAACAAGTACAAATGTACAAATATGGCTCTGGAAGTGAAGTTCCTTGTTTTTTCGTTCTTAAAATAAAATACAGAGTGTCGTAAGATGAGTTATAAGTTATAACAAAATGTACTATTTCTACTAAAATTTCCCTTAATTCAAACGAAATTTTATTAAAACTACGCTTTGTTACAGAAAAATGTCAAAAACAATCATGGTGTATAGCTTCTTTTTCATCTTGACCACATCGGGCTTCGTAACATGGTAAGTGTACATCATCATCATCATTACAGCCCTCACAATCCAAACGCCCTACCCCCCATTGCCACTTCAGCTTACTAATCCGTAAAGTGTACATAAATTTCTAAAATTATTGTTTTTGATAACGCAACCGTTATACACATTTTAATGAAAATTTATTGTCATCTTGCTAATGAAAGCCTACACAATGTATATGATTTAAATACGCTCTTAACCATGGCCCTTGTCTTCTATGGTCTGACTCACGTGCTCGCAATAGTGTCTGTAGTCATAAAGTAGTTAGTATGTATTACCTTATTTGTTATAAGTGTTGTACAAGTAGTGAAGTGAGAAAAAAGGTTAGTTCGTTAAAATTTATATTTTAACATATTCTGCTGCTCCGTCTTTGTAAATTTTATTCACAAACCTCGGATCGAGATAATCATGAAATTGAAATTTATAAAATAATGAATAGGTATTGTAAAGAAAAAAATAAGTGGTTGATCAACACACAAAATTACTTGCGTGCTGTCGCTGATTCTCTTTCTTTTTTACATCAGTGAAATGTTGCAAACCAGTAACATTCATTACTGGGCAAATAACACAACTTGTGATGCTTTTTAGACTAGCCATGCCAATATTTTATGGAATACATCGTTGAGTTGAGAACAAACTTGTGTTGTACGATTCTTTGTTGAAAAAGACCCGCAATGAATGTAACAAATCAATTTCAATTCAATCCTCAAAATACATAGACTTTAGCGTTTAATGCTGGAAAGAAACCCTTTGTCGTACATATTTATTTTCAGGGCACTCCCTTGGTGGCTCAGTTACAATAGATTCAGTTCTTCAATATATCAACACCAAAACCACTATCAATACAGCTATCACAAGTTTACTGCTGAACATTGGCCTCCTCTATAGATTGCCACAAAGTGCTGTCATTGCTACAAAATGCGTATTTCATCAGGTCGCACTTGATCTAGTGGGAGGTCACCTAACACTGCGTTTGCCAGTACGAGGCTGCCAATCGAGAACCTTTCTTGCCCATCGGTTATTGGTTCATCGAGCTATAAGGCTGGCCCCGTCACCTTAAGTACATTTTAATCTTAAGACTCATTAGACATTGCACCTCTTTACGTTTTTATCTAGACTACGATCGGAGTGTCTAGATGAAAACAAAGTGTATTTTTGTTCAGAGAGGAAAGAGCGTCGTGTAGAGGCTAATGTCACGTGATTCAGTACGGGTAACTTCCGCGACCTGGAGTGTCTGAAAATCACGCAGTTTTGTTAAACACGCATTCTGAAGACTAGGTGTTCTAAACAAAAGGGTTAAAGGGAATATTACACAAGCAGTAATGTTTGGTGGTCTAAGCATATAGTAGATTATTTATTTATTTATTTTTATATATAGTATTTAATATATTATGAAATAAAATCAAACGTAAGATAGCATGTATGAAACTTGCATATTGTCTAGAATTCTGAAATAAAATTCTTGCTCCATTATCTAGTGTGTGCCATTTACGAAGACAATCGTTTCCACAAAATCGCGCGTGTAATTTGTTTGAAGCACACAGACTTGAACGCACGACTGAGGTATAATGGGATGCTCCAGCAGGCGGCACGCGCGTGCATTCTCGTTCTCCCTTTCCTTCTTTACATGTAAGATATTTCCCGCGCGAAAGCCGATTCACGCGTTAAAGAGTGTAAAGGCGGCTATTGATTGATCACGATTAGTGCTCAAGGAGATTGTTCAACTGCCAAGTTTTAACATCGCATTCTGTGACAAAATTCTCACAATTATTTCTACACCATATAGATGATTTTTGGACCACTATACGTTTTCCAGAAAATTTCTAACTCGCACAACTATTTTGAAGAATCTGTTGTCACCAGCGATATAACTTAGGTATCTTAAAAAAAGTACTCCTTTTAAAAAACTTTACCTATATACAGGGGTGAAGTAAAATTACTTAAAAAAAATTCAAAAATTCTGTAGTTTTATCTTTTAAATTCAGAATGACATTGGCGGTAATGCATTATTTTAACTGATTGTCATTCAGAAATGTCTAACGCTTACTATATTACTACGCACAGACACATTTGTAAGGGTCGCTCGGTAGACTAAAACTTTGTGAATTGAATCGCACACAGAAGAGCGCTCGTACGCGTAGTTGTAGCCCATAAATCACATTCAATTTGGGATAGTTTCAAATAAAAATAGAAACATTTAGTCGTATTCTCAAAAATTGCATTTTACATTATTTATATATTTGAACTTAAATATAAAATTTGGAACTCTTTGAAAAATGACCCTGTACTCCTCTGGTATTGTAAATCTTCATCGGCAGCTGCAATCACGTTTACTGTCAGTGAGCCGCATGCTATTTTTCCTCATTTTCTGTAAAAAAGTAGTTTTTAGGCACCGTGCGATTGAGGATTTTATTTTGGGAGGGCCAGGCACAAGAACTAAAGCTTCCAAGGAGTGTTCCGATAAAATTAAGAGTACGTTTCATTTAAAATTGATACTAAAATAATGATGCACCACAAGAACTGCTGAAATAAAAATGTAATAAAGAGAATAATAAAAAATGCTGAGTAGGTAGATGATTCAGAATTACAGTTTTCTTTCATATCTCCTGTTGAAGATATTAATTACTTCTTAAGTATTCTTTTTTGATATGTTTTAACTTAAAGGACGGATGTACGCGGCATAGTCTATTTAACCGATTAATCGGTGGTGGCGTAAAGGAATTAAAAATCAATTTTCGACGAAAAATTGCTATGAAAAATGCCAGAAAAATCCTATGATTTCAGATATAATATGTAGTATAACCGTCTGGTTTTCGTCAGCCGCAAGATACCGGGCACAGACAACAATCAGCGCTGAAGGTGCCAAACGTGCCAATAAGGCGAATCCTTCTTCCAATAGGTCAACGAACCCCATATTCAGCAGTAGACTTTTACGGGCCGATAAAGATATACACAAGTATAATAAGCATGTCATAAAATAAGGTAACATTTACCCGCTGAGAGAAAATCTGATGATTTTATTTTACCGTTTTTTAATAATAGATCTCCCACAGTAAAGATTTTGACTTGACTTTAAATAATTGCTACAGTTCTAATAGGTTGTATTTTGGTATATCACTGACTGTATAAATACGAGTAATCACATAATAAGACATTGCGTTATATTGCAGTTTATCTGTGGTGGGACCACGGGTTCTACGTCCATACACCTCATACAAGATATCAATCGCGGGGAGTTCCCGGGCTCACAACTTATATGTGGCGGTGGAGCGTGAAAGCGGCGAACAATTCAGCCAGGGCCGGGAGGTGCAAGTCCCGGCCGCCACCTCTAGATTAATTGAACTCGATGTATGTACAAAATTTTATCTTTACACAGAAATTACGTTTATTTACACATATATAAAAGCTTAAATATCAAATACTAAGATTTTTTTTTCGATCGAGCGTTCGCGAAATCGTAAATCCTTGGTTCGCGTCCTGTCTTCGGTCCGACGTTTTTTCCTTTTTTTTTCAAGTTCCCTTCTTTAGTGAGAAAATCTATTATTTCGAGCCCTTTTTTTAAGTATTTTTAAAAATACGAAAACTTTAATTAAACTAATATTGCTCACGATTTTTTATTCAAATAACTAGTTCAGTTTTTTCTATTATGTCAATAAGATCAAAAAATATTCTTCATGTTTCATCAGTAAGTAATTTGTATCTAAATGTAATTTCAAAAAATAAAACCGAGCAAAGGTCGGTCATCCAGGTACTCTATATATGTGTAGTATGCACCTACTGATTAAAACTCGCCAAGTCACAAATTACCCTCAGCATCACATATAAATTTTGGTTTAGATTGGAATTTAAATACATACGAGTACAACTCTGCTGATAAGTACGTTGTGACTGTAGAATTCTTTCCTGTTTGTGTACCGTGTAGTGGCGGTGTAAGAGTATCCACTATCTACCACTACCTACCCACTACTACACTACCACCCACACACTACCACTACCTACCCACTACTACCACTACCTACCCACATCGTCCCGTGGTTGTAGTAAGAGGAGACAGAGGGTGACTAAAACAGAAGATGTGATATCTTCCTGATAACAACTCAAAATAATTAAATAATGCGGTTGCCAAACCGCCTGGCAAGCGTGGCAACTACGGCGGAATCCTCCCTATGAGGCAATCTATAGGATAGGCCTATGTTTAGCAGTGGATTATTATAAGTGTAATGTAGTGGATGAGTGGATGGATTGAGGTATTATAATTAAGTAACGAGCTGGGCGCAGGTTTTTACATTTTCATTAACTTAGATTTTTTTACAGATTGGTGATCCGGGACCAGGGCAGTATAAGCTGGTGGCTCGATCGACGTCAGGTCCCCAGTTCGCCTCGTCTGCGGCACTCATATACCAGCCTCGCAGTTTCTGTGTCTTCGTGCAGACCGATAAGCGCGTCTATCAACCCGAGGATACTATCTACTTCAGAGTTATCGCTCTCAATAAGTAAGTTTACTTTTAATATACCAGATAAACTTTTCCTGTAATATTTAGACCGATTAAATAGTTGTCACTGGAAAGAAGTATTGAAGTGTACCTATATAAACACAAAATAAAAATAAATTTCCTATAACGCCAGGTGAGAATCATTCCTTATTAAAAGCTAGACTATACCGACGTTTTAAATATTAAACTAAAAATTAATAATATTTAACCTACTTCAAAAAAGGTGGCTTTTAATTTGATTCTACGTTTTTTTGTATATAAGTAGGTTTGTTACGAGATATCTTCGTCAATAACTATGATCAGATTTTTACTTATTTATTATTTAAATTAAATAGGTGGCCTTTATGGGCGGTGACATATAAATTTGGAGAAAGTTTTTGTATGAATAACCAAATACTGTGTTATAATGGGAGAGGAGGGGGGGGGGGGTGCAGTAACTATTTAAATGACATTAAATCGTGATATTCCTGAGTACAAGTCCAAGTTAGTATAATTTTATCTAAGAAGCAAGTTTAAAATCATGATACTTACTTTTTATAGAATAAGTATTACAAGACAAGAGAACCCACAGTCCACCTGATATTAAGTGTATACCGTGGTCCACACCCAGATGTGTATGGGTCACGGATACATCTATCCGAGACTCAAAATCAAAATGCACATAAGTTGTCACCTCTGAGGAATAGAATGGAATGTCTTGTTGCCAGTAAAAAAGGTCTACGATTCTCCAAACTCACCATGCAAAACACAGCATCAATTACGTTGTGAGAGCGTAGTCCTACCCCAGTCGAACCATTCGTGTCTCAGCCACATATAGTTGTAGCGTGGCCCTGTCACGTAAAATATTTTACATTTATAACAGTCAGCTTTAATTTTTATGAGGTTGTTTAATGAAGTACCTTACTATTGACATGAAATATAAAAATGGAAATAAAAATGGGTAGATTATATTAGGCGGATATTAAACTGAACAAGTAAAATACAAAATATTTGTTATTCTTCTTCAAAGTTATTTACCTATTTCCTTTCCGAAAAAAAATTCAATCTACCCTTTATTCCCAGGCTCAATACTACTACTAAAGTGATTATTCTAATTATTATGCAGTACCTATACCTACCTATAATCATTAATCTGGATTAAATTAGCCTTTTCTAATCAAAGTCGATTATTTTTACCTGTAAACTGTAACCTTCTACAAAATTTAAGCGCTATAACAATAATTTATTTTTGATGTCGTCAAATTCCTATTATTAGAAACATGACATAATGAATGTCCAAACAACAGATGTACCTAAGTACTCGTAGATATCTTATTGTATCATTATGACTTTCGATTTCAATATCGATACAGGTAAAAAGAAAGAAAGTTCGCACGCATAAGATTACGTTACGGCAACGGTCATTGACCGTGCATTGGCTGTGAATTGTGAGTGTGAGAGCTATGGTGAGATCGCCTTACACAATACTGTTAATTCTGTACATCATTGCTAGGTAAAACTAACGTGTGAGTAAAATATATAACAAAATTAGAAATTAAATTACGGAATGAGATTGGTTGAATAATAAAACTGAAAAATAACAACCTGTAAAAAGCTATTATAGCTAGCTAGATAGACTGCAATACTAGACAATAATGTAATACAATAACACATACTCCGCTACGAGTTAAAGTGTTCTGAGAGACAACTATGTAAAGGTAATAGCCGCATCCCGTTACTGGTCCGGATTTTTTGTTTGGCATACTTTCGATAATTATTGAACGCGGTACCTACGTGGTAGAATGTAGTGCATTACGTCTGCAGCACGAATGGGTCGACTGGATCGGTAAAGTACAGCCCTTGCACAATATTCCAATGTAAAATAGCAGCTTATTGCTCCTGTTTCTCATCATAAGTGACGAGAACCGAAGACACTGTTTTCTTATAAAGAGGCATTGCAAATTAGTCCTCAGGGGTGACAACGCATTTGTATTGGAGAATAGAAGTCTAAGGGCTAGAGATACCATTACCTAGGTAAAGGGTATATTGTATTCTTACAAAACACAAATTTCTCTCTACAAAAACGAAAATCTACGAAGATTTATTAATGTACCTACGACGTTATCCCACAGTGATAATGGTCTTTAACCGTTACCCCGTTCCTTGAATCATATATAAACATTTCGAATGTTTAACTGTTGTCTGTTTCGTGGACAAGGAAACTCTTGATTATAAATAAGGGGCTAACAATAGTAAAAAGAGATTATATACAATCAAAAACAGTAACATAATGTGAAATATCAATTTTTCTGTATTAATGGTTTATTGTAATTTGTAAGATCATCTTCAATGACGCTAATCCCTATTAGATTATGGAGAGATCATACCCATTGTTGTTTCTGGCAAGCGTTGCAAATGTGGCAAATATCTGCCCTATGAACCAATCCATGGGGAAACCTATGTACAGCTGTGGCATTTTGATGGGCAATGAATATCCATTCATTGCTCATCAAAAGGCCACTGTTGCTAGAAATAAATGTTAGTGAACCAAATATTTTACATTGTTTCGGTTGAATAAGTTGAAGGTTGTAGTGAACTGTGAAATATTATACTGGGCCAAGCAATCGTGCATAAATTGTTTCTTACAACAGTCTTACTTATAGTAAAGATACGTTATTTTAATTTACTGTTTGTACTTCAAACTTTTGAATCACTATACAAGGAAAAAAAAGATTACATAAGTGTTGTAATTTCATAGTTTTATAACTTTGTAAAAATATCAATATAATTACAATAATTATTATCCAGTGAAAGTAAAATATAATTGTTATCTTTTTAGTGATATTAACATCGTATCCACATTGCGTATAGCATTCCATAGAATAAATAATTTTGCTATATGTACAAAACAAAAATTTATGGGAAAAATCTTATTTTATATTATAATCATTATTTTCATCTCCTTCTAAGAGTCGGGTGTGCCGTATTATGGATTCAGATTATGTGGATTGTGTCGTCTATAGATTATCTGTATTTTCAGTTTCAATGCTACTGTGTTCGTTGTATTTTAGTAAAAATTATTAATTAATAGCTATTTTTTAGATTTATGAGATTTTTAACTAACTTAAATTAAAAACTTTTCTCTCACAAATTTTTGTTCACTAAAATCTGCCGCCCCGGGCCGTGCCCCCCCCTGCCTAGAGTCGTCAGAGTTTACTAATGGATCCAGATCTTGAGAACTTACGCAATATTTACATTACTCGGACCGGCAACGGACTTTTCCCGTTCCGCCGCTTTCATCTTCGATACAAGAGATAATACACTATAGTATACCAGCCCGCTTTCAATTTTATCACTTATGCGTTTCATTGGGTACGGGTAGTACGTGCAAGTAAGTGTTTCGTTCAGATAAGTTTATAACTACCAATAGCGTTCGGTTTTGAAAATTATTCTCCTAATCGCAGTCGGCCAAATAATAATTTGCAGACAGTAGCTGCATTGACCGCATTTGTTTAGATACCTGTTGCCGCTGAACACGACGGTGGATGTGAGCGTGGTGGACAGCGGCGGGTCGGCGGTGCGCGAGTGGGCGGCGGCGGCGCTGGACCGCGGCGTGTTCGCCGAGCAGCTCGCGCTCGCCGACCAGCCCGCGCTCGGACAGTGGACCGTGCAGGTGACGCGCCCGAACCCGTACATACGCACCCACAACAGGACACACAGGCACACGACCCTCTACACTGCACCAAAACGTGGATAAAAATAATCAACATTCACTTGCTATCAACGGGCAAAAAATACATTGAAATATACGAAAGGCGATAGCAATTGTGCTTTTCATAATTAGATTAAGTTCACCTTTTATATAGAATAAGAGTGACTAACGAGCACACAGTCCACTTTATGGTAAGTGGATGATGTGGCCCATAGATATCTACATTTATCTTCAATTAAGAATCGCAACGCAGATGCGTCGTCACCCCTGAGGACTAAGATAGAATGCCTCGTCTCCAGTACAAATAGGATCTGCGGTTCTCTACACTCACCATACGAAACGGAGTAACATTAAAATGCTATTTTACGCTGGTATTCTGTGAGAGCGTAATCCTACCCCGGTTGAGCCGATCCATTCGTACCGCAACCACAATATAGCTGCAGCATGTCGCTGCCACGTAAAAACAAATGCTAAATATTACATTTTTATAATATTGCTTAACAGGTGGAAGTACGCGGACAGAAGTACTCGCGCCATATACTGGTAGCAGACTATGTGTTGCCGAAGTTCCAGATGGACATGCAAATGCCTAAGGAGCTACTGTTCAGCGAAGGACGATTCGACATCAACGTTACAGCAAAGTATGGATCTACATTTCTTGATCGATTCCTGTAATATTTTAAATTGACGGGGCGGTGTCACAATATCACTACCCATATCTCTATTTTCGTAAGATATGGAAAGCAAACTCTGAGAGCTAATTAGCTGATAAAAATTCAACATAATAAAAAACTGCGGTGAACTCTACCTAATAGTAATGTTACATAGACTATTATTTATTCTTGTAATATGGCTAAATCACCCCTATGAGGCAATCTACGGTACATATGTTCAGTAATAAACTTTTATACGTTGTTATTAATACTTTGAAACAACAGGTTCTGCTCATTGGAATCGGAAAATTTAAATACCTATTTGAGATTAAAAATCTATGTTGTAACAATAACGTTCGGCCTTGGCTACGTTACTCATTGACAATGTGTCACGATGTGTGTCACCGTACTTATCGATAGTAATTCTATTTTATCACCACAGTACCTATGCATTATTTTTCAATCCTATACCTTTAAACGAGCAATTCTTGTATATACAGTGGATTTCGGGTATAATGACGATGAAGGGACCACTCAATTTTCGTCGTTATATTCGGAAGTCGTTACAGGCAAAGGTAAAGAGATACAGTCACATACATATGTATAGTTTATACTCATTTATTATTGAAAATATTTGCGCACATAGTTATTCACTGGTACATTTCAAAATGCTACTCAGAATATTACTTTATAACTGAACCATAAATTTAACTCCGAAACGTACACGCTCTTCTACCTACTTATGGTTCATAAAAGATAGCTTGATCTCTGCGACAGCTGTCTGTAAAAATCACGCCTATGAAGTCCTGAATTTCTTAGTAGTACAGACAGTACCTGTCAATGTCATGCTTTATGGGCATGCGCACATTACTGACAACTGTCGCAGAGATCAAGCTATCTTTTATGAACTATAGCTAATATCTATAAACAAAAGGTAAAGGTCTTGCTTGACACTTGCTGACCATCTGTGTGGATGTAAACAAAAGATATGAAATGTTTGTGAAAGAAAGAAATCTTTGTGTCTGGCGGCAGACTCCGGTCGCAATATCTGCATGGGATTTCTAAGAATTTGTTACAAATTATTAATCAAAAACAGTCGCTATACCCGAACTCGGCGTTACATCAAAAGTCGCTAAAGCCGCATTAATTTTGTACTAAAGTATGCTTTAAATTCAAGGGACTTAGATTTAACATCGCTATAGGTAAACGCTATAGGTAGGTCGCTACAACCAAGGTCGTAATAAATGAAATCCACTGTATATTTATTATTATTGATTTTTTATTCAAATAACCAGTTCAGTTTTTTCTATTATGTCAATAAGATGAAAAAATATTATTCATGTTTCACCAGTACGTATATCTAAATATAATTTCCAAAAAACACGATTTCCAAAAAAAATACCGAGCAAAGCGCGGTCATCCAGGTACTATGTATTAAGTTAGAAAAATCTGTAAACTTATTAATAATCAATTTTATACAATAACTCGTTTAGTACAGACCTATCTATCATACTTTCACGTAGGTAAGTAATTTTCAGAAGTTCTTTAATTGCATTATTTTTTCATTTGTTCATTCTTAATTCTAAATTCATTTTACGTTCTTCATTCAAATCTAATAAGATCGCTTTGAGCATTCAAGACACAATAATGTAATAGATTTTGTTTGATAATATTAAACCTTACGAAGTTATTACGGCGTCAAATTCAAAGCTATTGTAATATTTCACGGCAATCCATGTTCTGTGTAATTCGCTATAAAGCTGAAATGCAATCACGAAATATTTAGCGATATTTAGATATATTAAAATATCAGTTATCTAGCACTCTTGTTATTTTATACTCAAAACCAGTGTTAATTTGTCAGAACCAGTTCCTTTTGATTAGACACAAATTCAAGTTAATACATATTTGCGTATTCTGCTTTAAATTCCAGCTGCCGCGATATCTACCTATGGCCTTTCAATAAAGCGAGTTTATTTCTGAATTATGCTTTATTGTGCTTCAACACAACAATTTTTTTCTTCATTCTTTATTGCTCATTCGATTTGTGATAGAGAAAACTTTGAAATAGATTATTTTCAGACATTAATAACCATTTTTTAAACTTAAACGTGTCTGCCCGGATTAATTTTCAGAATAGCGGAACCCATTGTATTGAAATTTTACGGACAGATGAATAAGAAGAACAATGCCATGGGGAACCTGGACTATATTATAATCAAAAAAAACTAGAAGTTATTTTTTTAAAACACGAAACATTGGTAATTATTAGATTCTATCCATGGGAAGACGGGGCGGATCGTAAGTTGTGAATAACTGTATAAGTTTAAAAATATAAGGCCATAAACTAAAAAAATGTATAGTATCAATTCACGCAGTCAGTAAAGTACCGCTATAGTATTTTCTTGGACGCAAAAGAGATTCCAAGTAGAAAATTGAAATAATTAGCTAAATTTAAAAAAATATTAGGATGGAAACACTCAGTACTCACACATAAAAATTGTTCGTTCCAATTCATACTTGACGGCGTTTTGCCAATATTGCGTTTACCGATTTCTACCAAGAATGATACGCGAGGCTATTGAAATTAAAAATCCAAATTTCAATAGAGAAGATGGATGGGTGCTGCCATCTGCTTGGGATCCTATAATTAACAAAATTAAACCCAAACCCAAGCATACCACTGCAAGACTTCATGATACTATAAGCTCGTTTTGCGTAAATCGGACCAAATATTAATATTCAAAAACTGAAGGTAGCCGGACTAACTATGACATTGGGACGTCAAACATCTCAGTCCCTCCCGTGACCATGGGTGCTGTAAAGCACCCGAAACGTCGGGATAATAAAAATAAATTAAAGTAGTAATTAAACGCGACAAAAACCGTAAATAATAGTTTTATTCAATATTTTTTGTTGCTATGTTATTTAGGTAAAAATTTATTCAATATTATTAATAACTAAAAAATGTATTATTACAGGCACTTCAATGGCCTGCCGGTTCAAGGAGAGTTAACAATTTCTGCTAATGCCGTGTTCTTCTCCGGATTGCTTCAGCCAGTATTTTCTTCACCTGCTAGGAAAGTGGTAGAATTTAACGGCCATGCCGATGTAACGTTTGATCTTAAAACAGATCTCGACCTCGCTGAGGATGCAGCACGACCTTTAGTAATTGAAGCGGTGCTAGAGGAAAAAGATACATTGATAAAACAAAACATTTCATCGAGAATACTTCTTTTGAGAACGCCATATCGGCTGAGGGTTACCGCACCGGAATATTTCAAGCCTCAGCTACCGTATATCGTTCAGGTAAGACATAATATCAGATGTTCGTGAGATAAGAATTATTCCAAGTACCAATTGAACATTTTACTTTATTTATCAAGGTAATATAAGAAAATAATTTTTATGAACAGATCGAAGTGGTGAACTCTACGGGGCATATAATCGACGCGGATGAAGACGTAATTGTAGAGCGGCTATGGGATAGCGGCGCACCCGCCAACAAAACTACGGTTCCATTCAACAAGGGCCTAGCTCTATACACTACAACACCCGATGTTGCTCACAGCAACTCTACCATGAATTTGGTGGTAAGGATATATTTTTTACTATTAGATCAATAATATCCTTAAATGAAATCTAATATACAAAAAATATTTTTTGTTTGTTCGTATTTTACGCGCTGTCATACCGTCCATCAGATTGCGATAAAACTTTGTCAACATATTGCTTGCACTTCCTTCCTCGACGGTTATAGGCATAGTTGGACCCGGTAGGTGGTGCTGTTATAGAACCCACATGTCACCCGTGGGAAGCCGGGGCAGATCGCTAGTGAATAATAATTATAGTACGTGAGGGTAATATGGTCATACGGTTAATGTGGTCACTTTTTTATTAAGAAAAAACTACAGCCTTATTTATATAGATGGCTGTATGATACGATTACTCTTTATTGGTCAATCAAATAAAGGGTCAAAAGTACGCTGCTTTATCGACGTCATCATTTTAACAGTTTTTTTTATAGGAAAACAGTTCACCTGATGGTAAGTGGTTGCTGTGGCCCATAGACATCTACATGTATTCTCGTTTGCGAATCAAAATGCAGATGCGTTGTCAGCCTTGAGGTCTAAGATGGAGTGCCTCTTTTCCAGTAAAAAGGGTCTCCGGTTCTCTACACTCACCATACGAAGTACAGCTGCATTAAACTACTATTTGACGCTAGTATTCTGTGAGAGCGTGGTCCTTCTCCGGTCGAGCCGACCCATTAGTGCTAAAACTATACAATTAATATAGCTGCAGCATGACTCTACCACGTAAAAATATATAAGTTGACATTATAGTAAATATTTTACTCGATTTTATTATAGTGTAATGTAGTTAGTTTTTTTTGAGTTGATTTTTCGAAGTGTTCCTAATTATTGCCAAAGCTTGTTTGATATTATTTTCTTAACATAATAGTTATAGTATAGGACTTTGTGTATTTGTCTCTGCCTTCCTCCTAGTTTTCGTCTTATTGGGCAGCAAACATTGACTTATATATTACTAGCGTAGCAGCAAAGCTTATGAGATTTTAACTAACCATGTGATCATGTTACTCACGCACCTTATTAGGAGTTAGTAGTAACCAACTACAGTGCAAAAATAATATTAGATACGGAGTGTGGCGATATGCTAATGTTTTTCTTCAAATGTTAAAATCACTTGACCACATGTTCTTGCCGTATAATAAACGAGACTCTGGCGACCGACTATGACGGGAGTTCTATTCAAAAACGCCTAACCCAAATTTTACGGACCAATAATGTAAAACAACATTACCACTAGGAACACCCTCCCGGCTCTATACTCACCTGCCCGTCTGTCCATTGTGTTGAATATGGTTAAGTTTTTCATGTAGTGTATGTTAGCTGGTGATGATCCGTTGATAATACTAAAATTTGAATTCCTAGATTTGAGTTGATAAATTATGTAAAACACATCATGAAAAAAAGTAGAAAATGATATTGGATAAAATTTTTCAATTTTATACGCCTTTAATTCCTTGTGAGTTTATCGTAAGCTTCATAGACTTATCAACAGGCGCGAATTTAATTTGGATGGGTTTTGAGATTTAAGTTTCTTCAGACTGCACTTCTGAGGTTTATCTTTCGCTACATACTGATGTAGAGTATGATTTCAGTAAGAAGTCTTTATACTTTAAAAAAATATTTAGTTTTGTGGGGAAGGGCTGTCAGGAACCCCAAGAACCTTCTTTTAGATATGCGCCTACTTCTCACATAGTAATTGTTAAGTAACATAGTGACGCGATCTCATCCGGTGTATAGTTTGCGGTTGTTTGTTGATTTTTCTAATACTGTTTCCAATGGAGCGGTTGCACTAAACGTATATTAGACAGTTTCTGGTCTTGATACGCAGAATTATGCAAGGTAGCACTTACGTTTTTATGACTTTAGATAAAGTACAAGGCGGTGACGGAGCGCGTGGTGAACGTGGTGAGCGGGTCAGGCGGCCAGCAACTGAGCGTGCAGCTGCTGGCCAACGAGCCCGGCGCAGACGAGGTGCGCGCGCGCGTCACCGCCACCGACCCCATGGACCTGCTGCACTACGCACTGGTGGCCCGCGGGGACATCCTGCACGCACGCACCCTCGAGGTAACCCTTTGTTCACTAAAAAAATAACTAATGGTGTCATAACGTGTTTTGTTTCACAGGAAACTTATCTTATAACAGCAAACTTGTGGACCCACCCTAACTAGCCCGTAAACAGTCCACTGATGAACAAGCCATTCCTAAGTAGAATCGGCGATTAAGTTCAGATTTTTCGCATGATTGACGCTGCTTCAAGTCGCCGCGCAGGTCATATTATCATACATATGTGGTATAAATAATATTTATACCATTTTATATTTTATACATGATATATATTTTTACATGAGATAGTTGTACTATACTATACTTATAATAATACCAGTTTCCTAAATTGCTTTTTATGAAATATGAATTTTCTTATGCTGGTGTTTACTATCCCGCGTACTCACTACACTGCAATTACATATATCTATGGATATTTTTTTTAATAAATGCATCATTTGACATCGTCATCTTAGAAGGGCCTATTTCGAACATTAAATTTAAACAGATGACGCAGACGAAAATGAAAAATGATCATTATATCACTATACGGTGAGAAATAAAAGCACACTACAACAAGTGTACAAAACTTCGATCAACAATACCAACTAGATAACGGGTCACGTACAAAATCATAGCTAAATATTGTCCGCATGAATATAAATTATGAAAAGACATAAATTAAATAACATTTAGTGTGAAATCAACCTTAAGTTATAACGAATAAAGTCCTTTTTCCCGTTATTGCCTTGCGAGCTACTCTCACGTGCAAGACTCACGTCTCATGTGCGCTCTTATTTACTGAGATGGATTTCTTGCGCGGACCCGACATCTAGTTGGTATTGTTGATCGAAGGTACAAAAAGTGAACACGTGTACTAATTCTGAATTAGAAAGCCGTGTCGTAAAAGGCTACTTAAGGTTTGGCGGTGGAAGGAAAAGGGAAGATATCCCGCCGGGAAAGGTGTTCTGCCCGGGGAGCGGCCAACGCTCCGTGTGATAGTTCGGAACTATTCTATATATATACAGTTTTGATTCGGAACTTTGATAGCGCGATTTAGGCTTCGATGTGTTTCGCTTGTGGCGCGACGACAGCGCCGCCGCATCGCCTCCCTGCTCAGATCGGAGGTCGATAGTGCAGTCCGATTGCCGGTGCGTCCTTAATGCTGGTGGGGAATGCATGCTGTAGCGCGATTTAGGCTTCGATGTGTTTCGCTTGTGGCGCGACGAGAGCGCCGCCACAAAGGAAATGTGAAAAGTATCTGCATTTATTCATCCAACTGCTGGGCACAGGCCTCCTCTTATTTTCCGAGTGCTTTGAAGCCGGGAAATTTACATATGTCAAGTCGCCTCCACCTTAATAATTTTTTTTTGTATTGATTTAATTTATATTTATTTTTTAATACAAGCAACACGACAAACAAGCATATAGATATCAAAATACAGATGCGTTATACACACAGAAATCTAAATAATAAGACAATAGAAATGCCTTCTACTGACATTTAATATCGGGACGCGTGTCGCCAGGTCGTAGCTCTCACACATAGACAAACAATAAATACACAATTACGCCTACAAATATGTCTAGCATTCATGCAACAAAGATTAATCATAATAATAATGAATATTTTATAAAAACGCAAAATCTCAGGAGGCGAAGCCACTCGGTCCAATAATTAAAGTGTGCGAAAAACAGAGAACGACATTGCGCGCTCGCTCTCACTTGGCCATAGTGCAGCCCAACGCACGTTTCGCTAACTTTCTATTAAGCGTCGTTCATCTTCCAGGAGTTTCACACCAAGATCTAACTAATTAACTGAAATCGTCTCAGTAAAAGACGCTTTTTGACTTAGCTTTAGCTTTTAGACGTTTTATAATTAGAAAAAAAGGGGAAATAATAATAGGTTAAGAATAAATATATCCATTTATTTTTAATAACCGGATTTTTTTGGAAATTTGTAATAAAAGCATTGTATTAAATAAATAGATATATAAATAAAATTAATACAACATTACACAAACAGCAAACGAATAAATATATGTATGGGTGACATATTTATCATTTTTTATTAGTTTTAAAGATCTGTAACGGACTTTCTGTTGTTTGCTACTTTTCAGTTTCCCGGCTTCTTACAGATCGAATTAAGACTACTATCCTTACAATATAACTGATTAAAAATTTATCAAGTAATTTAAAAGTACAAACAAACAGATATTCGCCGATAAACGATAAGTAAGATATATATATATATATATATATATATATATATATATATATATATATATAAGAAAGTAGAAAGGTGTAAATAAATATTTAACGAAAAATCACATTTAATTCCCGTTTCTTTAAAACTAGCTAAGCCAAACATAATAAATTATCGATACAAAATATATAGTAGTGTCACGTAACTGACTCACATTCGACTCCTGCCGCCATGTTCTGGGAAATTTACGTACGCAATAATTTTGTTTATTGCCCATACTATAAATCCATCGCTGATTTTAGCTGTCGCGCTCGTAGACATGAACTAGCTTAGAATTCAATGGATATTGGAATGTGAAAACAAAATTTCGGAGACAATCGTAGTACTGGAGGTGGATAATTTTATTTAAGTATATTTCATTAAACACACCATTATTTAAAACACTAAGTACTTATTTATGAAATGTTATCCCTTTATTTGAAAATTTGCAAGTTGTGGAGGAATTTCCGCAGTTGGATATGCTTCTAAACACCATTTTTACGTCTCTGCGTCCGAAACAGTACTGGTGACCGAAACAAACACTCCTCGCGCGCTAGTGGCCTATGAGTCACATGTGCGGTGACAAGGTCACTTTTACGACTTCTATTTATATTTAGATTTCTGTGGTTATACAATTGAGGACTAATAGGTAATACCTCATCAACAATAAAAAGGGTCGCTGGATCGCTGGACCGTATAGAGCAGTATTATACGAAACTATTCTGTGCACATATGTTACGAGGACAGGCCAATCCATCTGTGATGCAGTCATAATACAGCTACAGATGGGCTCTATCATGTTGTATTTCAGGATAGTCATAGGCGTTTATGTGGTATATTATCTACTTCTTATAACGTAGTGTTTACGGAGAATGAAGGTAACAAACGAACATATATTTCACCCGATGATAAGTGGATGCTGTGGTCCATAGACATCTATCACCGATTAAGAATTTAAATACAAATGCATTGTCACTTCTTGAGACTAAGTAAGATAGCAATGCCTCTTTACCAGTACACAGTTGCATAAAAACCGGTCCAAAATTTAAAATTCGTGTAGCATAGAGCTTAATTTCAAACTCAAGTTTGTCTCTGAACACCGGTCTAAGCCCTGTGTTCGCTCGTTTGTCACACTTTCTTGTATAAGCTTGCACAACTTTCTACTCGTGCATAGTAACATAAAGCCTGAGTACGATGACGTCACAGTGGTGGGCTTGTATAGTGCGTCTTACGTCGTGGCGTAATCTAAGAAGAGAATCACTTTTATTTTACTTATTATAAGCCAGTGCTTACCCGCAATCCCACCTAATGGTAGTGGTGATAAAGCCCTAAATGGTAAATCGCACTGCTAGCGTCACAAAAGCCTATTCACTCTTGTATTGAAGACGTCCAGATTGTATTTGGATTGTACTCGCTCGCAAAGAGCGCACGTGAGGAAGTGCGACTTGGAGCGGGCGGAAGCTTCATA